CCACAATGTATGTGTGTTCTCTATCACCAACACTTAAAATTCTTCTTCTAGCAGGTAGCATCTCAAAGTACTTATTGGCAAAATCTGCATTTTTCTGTAACCTTTTCTTTATCTTTGGACATATGGTGCCATTCCACTTCTCTTGTGCTTCCTTTTGCTATGTGTATATCCTGTTCATCAATTGGCACCTAATCTTCTCAATCATACTCAGGATGCCCATACTCCCTTACTATCATTATAATTCTTCACTAGAAAGCATTTAGCCCTGCTATCATATCCACATTTCATCACCCATGGACAGCCTTGAGCATAGGATGCCCATACTCTTTTACTATCATTTTGGTCTTTCTTAATTGGAACTTTTTCCTTGATGCTATACTCTATGATTGCTCTCCTAACTGCTTCTATAGTAGCAAAAATCATCCCAACCTTGAACTTTGGTTCAGCAATGTCGACTTCACTATTAAATACTTGAAAGTTGAATTTCATCTTTTCTTCTTCATTATCTGAATTTGGTATTTCTAGTTCCTCACACATATCAAAGTCCTCCACTTCTTCCACATTCACTTTCTTGCCTTTATATTGCACCATGTTGTCGTCCACATCAGAGTCAACATTGTCCTCAAATAAGTCATCATCATCTTGCCCAAACTCATTGTTACTGTCCACAAAATTTCCATCAATTTCAGAACCTGAAGCACTATCATCAAAATCAAACCCATTGCAATCTGCATTATTAGTCGAACTCTTTGGCACATCATCATAAATTTTGGTTAAATTATCCTCTTCATTATTGTCAATGGATACTACATTCTTGGGGCTCACAAGTGGGAGAGGATGATCACTCGTGCCATAAACATTGACATCATCCATTTGTTGCCTTTGCTTCTCTATAAAGTTTGAGTGATCAATATAAATTCTCAAATTTTGGTGGTGTGCTGATACATTGATCATCCTAATGGTATCTACATCACATGTCAGTGGAAGCAAACACTCTGCAATAGTATACTCTGGTAGACACCAATACCAACTGACTGGTCTATGCTCTGCATAGCCTAACTCTTTTAGAATGTCCGGCAAAAATAGCAGCGACCATTCCTCAGCATCACAACCATCAAACCAGTCGACCTTTTCCTCAGCATACACCATGTTCCTTACAAGCCCACAGAAAAATCTCCCATGGTGTACTTCTACATTGAAAAGTGATGGATTGCCTATAGTCCAATGACATAAACATGTTCAGTATTGGACCTGCAAAATTGGCCTCATACGCAAGCTCTAAAACCAGTCGCGAAAAAAACACAAACGGTAAACCAATCTAATCTCTCTTGATCATGAACACTAAAAGAAATCTCCTAAAGCGCGTAAAGATTGGCACTCACTATAATCTAGAGTCTGATCACCAGGTTCCCGTCGCCTTGGACCCATTGCTCCAGGGATACGTGTGATCGCTCGTTGGCGGCCGTGCGGTTGCCGTAAAAGGTTCACGTTCTCCTCTGCCAAAACCCTATATGTCTATTATTTGTGCAAAAGTTGGGAGGACCAAATAATGACAAAATTAAGGACTAAGGGGATATCTGATAATTACCATAGCCTCCCACGCCTCTCATGCACGTATGTGAGCAGTTGTGCACCCACCAGCCAAGTTATTGAATTCATATGTACATTTAGAGAGATGTTGTACCTCACCCACATGCCAAGTTTATGTACTAATTGTGCATTTTACTCCTTTATTTATGTGCACATCGGCTCATACAAACTTGCGTTGTCTAATATGACAAAATCCGGTGTACTAACTAATGCATCATCGGATCTATTTTGAGCATTGTGCAAGCCTGCACAAGAGTCTATGCAACCAAACAAATACAAGCAAAGTACACTACACAAGCCTAGATACAGGTTAATACACACAACCAATCAAAGTATGTGGTTATTTTATTTTAGGCCATGGATATGCTATCATACTTAAACTGCGATTATAGGTGTATGGGACCACACATGTCCCACTTTTGTGAAAAAACGGGGAAAATAATCAATATTGTGGTTTGTAAATATGCATTGACTGTCATTGTTTTTACACCTAACAAATTATTTCATGACCTACTCTTTACCTCAGTATTAATGCATATGAATTAATGATAATGTGCTTGGGGATGCTTCAGAAATACGGGCCCAACCCAAAATCAACACAATTGTGTGGCAGCCTTATAACGATCGTCGTTAGGAAATGTTAAGGAACGTACTCGCTCCATCTCAATAAATAACTTTCTCTCTAAGGTTTAAAATTTGTCTAAAAACAACATCCTATAAAAATACGGGACAATGCCTCCTAAATCCTAATACAAAAGCTAATTACGGATGCATACAAACAATAATAGCCAAATTCACAAGATATCATCCAGAAAAGAAAAGAAGATGAGGGTACATACATGTGTCTTTTTCCATAGTCCTTAATCTGTCTAAAAATTTATAGAAAATTATTTATTTTGGGACATAGATAGTATGAAAATAGATGTAAACAAAATTGGTAATTGTCCTTCACCACCTTTTTGTTGAGTACATATATAGATCACCTATAGAGATATGAAAAATCGAGGCAGTGGATATTATGTTACTTGGTGTGTTTTTAACAAACCAACACCGATAGTATACTCTAGAAGAAAATACAAGCAAATAGTCTTGGAAGACTAGTACTACCTATAGGAACACAAAGAAAAAAATGTTATTTTTGATTTACATGCATTAGAAATGATTATTTATGATTCTGAAAAAAAAAACGAACTTGCATAGAAGAAATGCCTCAGGGACTCGATGAGTAGGGCCGGGAGAGTTGCAAGATCCAATTCCGTGCATGTCTTTTTTATGTTACTGTTCGTGTTCCCTCCTTCGTTCTTTTTCGGTCAATAAAGTATGTGATGAGGAAACGTTGCATCGCTCAATCGTGTTGGGTCAAGCATCCTTCTCTCCGTTGGGAATTGTACAAGGAAAGATCGAAGACACGCTAAGACACCAACCATGCAGGTAGCACCTACTGGATAGATGCGTGTCTTGCTATCCATGACAAGGGATCATGCATTCATTCTTAAACACACACCACTACAGCAACTCGTAGATTCACTGAACCGTAGGTGAAAACCCTGCGTCGACCGATTTCTGAACTTGCAGAAATGGGAACGTAGTAGTAGGAAGTTACTTACCATGTTGGTGACAGCGACGACCATGATTACTTTTCAATTGAATCAATATTTAACAAAAAAAATCCCCATTCCAATAATTATTTGTGGCCCCCGTGAATCATGCATTGTTTGTGTGCGATGTTTTGATTAAGCCGCACAACCAAACTAGGAAGTAACATTCGCAGATAGTATCTAGAAGACCAGCTTTTCTTCTTCTTGTTCTTGGTGCCAAAATCTAGATGGCACTGTCAAAATGCAGGTGAACATGCTATTTTCCAACATCGAGGCCTGTGTGCAATCAATTTTGCTTTATTAAGTGTGAAGGGTGATATGTGATATTTGCTTCAAAAAAAATGATTTCCAATCGCTTGTAGAGCATATATGATCTGTAGATTTTGACACTTGACCTCACTGATTTTGTTCAGGTTCTAAACCAGCAAGTACGGGTTAGGGACCAATGAACCATATGCATGAACACATTCAATTGTAGGACTGTCCTACTAGGACAAGATCTTTCGAGGAGCATGTATGCAGAGCAAGCTGTTCTAATTTCGCGGAAAATTGCGCTACAAGATTTTTTTACTGACGGTTGAGAATTCATAGCTCAATGTAGCGGTGATTTTCTTCATCATTACCATGGAGATCGACAACGGTTTTTTACTCTTTGTGTGCATCCAGTTTACCTTTCGGTTTTCGGCAAACTTTTGCACCAGAAAAGCTACGCGACGGCATGCAAAATCACCAGAATTATAACTAGCGGCGATCTAGTGCATGCATGGTCAAAAGGGATGGATCGTTGCCGCATACTTTGGCCACACTCTAAAGCTAGAGCCCTCCAGCAGTCCAGCTAGCTCGAGCAGCTCGCCTGCCTGCCCTTGATCGTTCATCTACCGGATCACCAAACTTTGTATAGTTCTGCCCAAGCTGCGTTTCTGTCGACCATGTAGAAAGCCTAAGAAAATGGCGGTGGTAGTTGACATGCTACTAGCACATTGCTTGCCATGCCCTATATATGGAGAGGGGCCTCCGGTGGCTGTCCCAACACACACACACACACACACACACACACACACACACATTATTCCTCCATCTCTTCGATCGCCTGGTGGCCGTCTTGGTTCCCCTCTAGAGCTCAAGAGCAACTCCAGATAGCTGCTCATCGGAGCCTTAGCTAGAGGTTTAACCATCAGCTAGCAATCTAGCATGGCCATGGCAATCTCCTCTGCTCTTCCATGCTCCCTCCTCATGGCGGCCCTGATGCTCCTTGCCTCTGCCGTCGAAGTGCAAGGCATCATGAGGCACTACGACTTCAATGTACGTCGTCGTCCGATCGAGTGTACAACATTTCTATATATCATATGCTACGTACTTCTGCATAAAATGCATGGACTCATGCATGCTCATATATATGCATATGCTTCGTTTGTATGTATGCGCAGGTGACAATGGCGAACGTGACACGGCTGTGCGCCAGCAAGAGCATCATCACGGTGAACGGGCAGTTCCCCGGCCCCAAGATCGTCGCGAGGGAAGGAGACCGTCTCGTCATCCGCGTGACCAACCACGCCCAGCACAACATCTCGCTGCACTGGTAAGTGATCGTACTCGTACCGGCGTCCGTGGAAATCAAAAGTGCGCGCGTTGGTGCACCCACGCTTAGCACCACACAAGTACATACACCAGCAGAATTTCGCTAACTAATTCGAAGCTTCTTTTCGTTACATACCAACATACCTTATATACTATAATCTGCCTCTGACCGAACGACGAACGAACACGAAAGCTTTGCTGCATGCTGATCGTGTTGCTGCTGCGTGCATGCAGGCACGGCATCCGGCAGCTGCGCACGGGGTGGGCGGACGGGCCGGCGTACATCACGCAGTGCCCGATCCAGACGGGGCAGAGCTACGTGTACAACTACACCATCGTCGGGCAGCGCGGCACGCTGTGGTGGCACGCGCACATCTCCTGGCTGCGCGCCACCGTCTACGGGCCCCTCGTCATCCTGCCCAAGCTCGGCGTCCCCTACCCGTTCCCGGCGCCGTACAAGGAGGTCCCCGTCATCTTCGGTGAGTGTTGTTGGTCTACTTGCAGCTAGCTAGCTAGCCCCGCCGCCGCCGACGTGAACGGCCGAACGCCGGGAGAAAACGACCCCGCGCGTTGCTAGCTGTTGCTGGCCTGTATGTAATCCTGTGCTGATAACTTTGTGCGCGCGCGCGCGGTTGCATTCGATCGATCGCGAAATTGGATTGGTAGGTGAGTGGTGGCTGTCGGACACGGAGGTGGTGATCAATCAGGCGCTTCAGGTCGGCGCTGGTCCGAATGTCTCTGACGCCCACACCATCAACGGCCTACCAGGACCGCTCTACAACTGCTCTGCCAAAGGTACGGTACATTCTTTCTTTCTTTCTTTCTTGTTTTTTTTTTTTAATTCGCAAGCACACTAAGGCCTAAACTCTAAACTAACACGCGCGCCTACACTATATACGTACGAGAGAGCTAGTGTTGCTGTGTTTTGAAGGATGATCTAGGCGTTAGTTCTAGTTCTTATATATCTTAAGAGTTCTCGAAACAAAGGGAACAAAAAACAAACGACAGAACGAGAGGTTACGTACCGCTCGAGTAGTCTTCCTAGTCTAGTCCTAACAGAAAGCGAAAAAGGTGACGTTCACGGGCGCTCTGTTTTCCCATTCCCCAAGCATGCATCTCTAAGTTTTCAAACGCAACCATAAATCAAAAGAGGCCTCGTTTTCACGAAGGTGGTGAGTTGTTCAAATCACCAAAGCAGGTGAGAAGATTCCGAGTTCCTTTCTGGAAACGGGATCTTTCAACTGGCTGTGGCGCCCCTGTGTGGGAATGTTAGCACGACGTCGCTGTCATGGGATCCAATCCCACTCGTACTTGACCTAACACATCCGGTGGACTTAAGCAACCTAGCTTAGCTTGCCGGCGGTGGGTCCCTCGGGCCCGGTGTTGTTACGTAAACAAAATCTCAGTTACGCCTCCAGCAGATAGGTGTGCTTTCCCATTCCGTCAATCACGTTGATCGCCTTCGATGCATGTCTTTTTCCAAAACGTTCCACTCACTCACCGTGTGTGTGGCCTGCATGCATGTGTGGCACGCGCGAACGCACGCAGACACGTTCAAGCTGAAGGTGAAGCCAGGGAAGACGTACATGCTCCGCCTCATCAACGCCGCGCTCAACGACGAGCTCTTCTTCTCCATCGCCAACCACTCGCTCACCGTCGTCGAGGTCGACGCCGTCTACGTCAAGCCCTTCACGGTCGACACCCTGTTCATTGCCCCGGGCCAGACCACCAACGTGCTCCTCGCCGCCAAGCCGTTCTACCCCGGCGCCAACTACTACATGTCCGCCAGGACCTACTCCACCGGCAGGCCGGCCACCTTCGACAACACCACCGTCGCCGGCATCCTCGAGTACGAGTACCCCGACGCGCCCTCCTCCGCGGCGAGCTTCCACAAGGCCCTGCCGCTCTACAGGCCGGCGCTGCCGCAGCTGAACGACACCAGCTTCGTCGGCAACTTCACGGCCAAGCTCCGCAGCCTCGCCACGCCGCAGTACCCGGCGGCGGTGCCGCAGACGGTGGACAAGCGGTTCTTCTTCACGGTGGGGCTGGGCACGCACCCGTGCCCCGCCAACACCACGTGCCAGGGCCCCACCAACACGACGCAGTTCGCGGCGTCCGTCAACAACGTCTCCTTCGTGCTCCCCACCAAGGCGCTGCTGCACTCGCACTTCACCGGCCTGTCCAGCGGCGTCTACGAGTCGGACTTCCCCGTCGCGCCGCTCACGCCGTTCAACTACACGGGGACGCCGCCCAACAACACCAACGTGGCCAACGGGACCAAGCTCATGGTCATCCCGTACGGCACCAACGTGGAGCTGGTGATGCAGGGCACCAGCATCCTCGGCATCGAGAGCCACCCGCTGCACCTGCACGGCTTCAACTTCTTCGTCGTCGGCCAAGGCTACGGCAACTACGACCCGGTCAACGACCCGGCTAAGTTCAACCTCGTCGACCCCGTCGAGCGCAACACCGTCGGCGTGCCGGCCGGCGGCTGGGTGGCCATCCGCTTCCTTGCCGACAACCCCGGTAAGATTATTCTGATCAATTATTAACGCTGCACGCATGCCTCCTATGTAACAGCCCAGGAAACAAGCTCTGCATGCGTGCCTTTGTCTTACACATGTGCGCACGTGCTCTATGAATGTGCAGGGGTGTGGTTCATGCATTGCCACTTGGAGGTGCACACAACGTGGGGCCTCAGGATGGCATGGTTGGTGCTCGACGGCAGCCTCCCGCACCAGAAGCTGCTCCCGCCGCCGTCCGATATTCCCAAATGCTGATTAGACTCCCTCTCTCTCTCTCTCTCTCCTGCCGGTTGCTTCAAAGGGAATTGTGAATTAGACTTGATCACAAATGTTGATTTTTTTTTTTTGTTTACCTTCTTCATTGCCAATTGCAATTCTTTCAACTTCCATTTAAACTAGTCCGTTCCTAGCTGACATGGACTTTTTGTAATCTTTTCTTCTATTGTTTGCCACCCTGTAATGAAAAAATGTTTTTTGTACACTCTTTTGATAATAAAGAATGGCGTGACTTGCACCAGATCCATATAATTTCATCTGTCTGCATTGTTCCAGCTGGTTATTTATTTCGAGGTGGCTTCTCTAGGATAGAAGAGAAAAGTGTTATCTAAGTACGGGCCACTTTCTGTATTACTATATCAAACTCTTGAAAGGTGATAATGACCTTTCAAAGGGTTTAATAATGCAGAAAAAATATCCATTTTGATTTCATAAATTTGCTATATATAAAGGTACGAAATAGTTAAGTAAAACCAGGAAATGTGATCTTATCACGTGATCAAAGCCACTCACCTATAGGAAGGGTCCGGAGTATATAACACTATCAAATTTGTAATACCGGCCTGTTAATCCCTTGTGAATATCAACAAATAAATAAATTTGAAGTCGATATAGTGATTTGGCTACTGCAAGAAGTACGCAACCAATCAATTTGTAAAGGGGCATACTAACACGTTGAACCAATAGATGCATGCAACCAAAGCAACTCCTTGCAGAGGAAAACCAACAGTATGCTAATCCACCTCCCTTTACAACAGGCTAAACATCGTTGCCATCTTCATCCTTTCGTAATGATGGCGCTCAAATCAACATCTATAAGAATGACATGATCTTAACAGAGAGCGCCAGATTTCAATAAAGCAGGCCAATTTTTAGTCTAATCTGTCCTGACCGCTTGACAGCCTGATGGGGACAAAAACTTCAGCTCTGCCTCTTGCCATAAATAACATCATTGTCATCCTCTATTTTGCATAGAGAAAGTGGAGATGTCTGTATCGGGGGTAGCTGCGTCCATATGAATAAGAGCAAGTAAGATCATAAGTACTGTCTCTATTCAGTAATTCTGAAAAGCAAGTATCTTGCACCGCCCGGTGCCTACACGCCCCTCGTGACTCCAAGCGCCCTCCTCCCTCCCATCTCCGGCGATATCCCTCCACCACCGCTGGTCCTCCTCCCTCCCATCTCCGGCATATCGCCGGAGGCCGGAGGGAGTGGGGATCCATAAATTTTAATAAATTTTTTTAGTAAATCGAGTCCTTAGAGTTATGGTCTCTCCATGTCAAGTTTCTTGGTATTAGGAATTCCAGCGACGGCGAGAGGGCAGGGTGAAATCGTTTTCTCCAAGGCGGCTCTGTTGAAGATAAGGGCGACAACTACGACGTCAGCATCCTCACCAGTATGACGACATGGAGACTTTTATTTCTGAACGGCGACATCAAGGCGGAGATGGTGTCACCACTATGGAATAATTTTCTCCGGTCTCTTCTCCGTTTATTGTGGTTAGATATGGCCACGGCGAAGGACTAGGGAGAATAAGTTTTAAATCAGTATTCCTCGTTCTTCAGTGGTAGAAAGAAGAAGAAGGAAGACACCAGAAGAATAAGTTTCTCAACTCCGCCTACAGGAATGTTGGTCGTCGTTCGTTGGGCACCTGTTCTCAGGTCTTTTGCCGAGTGTTTATTTCTGCGGTCATTCATACTGCAAAGCGTCGTACATGTTTGGTTTTGAGATCTGGAGTTGGTCACAGCGTGAGTACAATTTAGACGAAAATCAGTTTCTGGATATTTGTGTAATCCATAGGGCTTGTAACGTGTTGATGTACCCAGCTATTATCTAATATAATTCTTCTTCCATCGCAAAAAAGGTACTCTCTCCATTCTAAATTATAAGACGTTTTGGTTTTTGTAAATACTTATTTTTTTTATGCACTTATATATACACTATGTCAAAATATATAGTAAAAGCGATATATTTAAAACCGCTAAAATATCTTATAATTTAGAATAGATGAGTGTATTTTTTTATCAAAGTGACTACAGCCAATTCGTTGTAAAGTTACTGAAGTTTTCTGCACTTAGACTATTGTTTATTATTTCCTGGTTTTAGTATGACTCTTTTTTCATATGGAGAATCAATATAACAATTTATGTTAATTCACAACTATAATGTTGAGTGATTGGAAGGCTGAGTTGCGCAATCATACCATTTGATCTTCAACGTGAGAAGGATAATATGTTGAATTAATATGCTTAATAAGAAAATGAATTAATAAACTACTGGCTAGTGGCTACTTAAATAGCTAACAAAAAAACTACTCTCTAAGTCCTAAAATATAAGGGATCCAAATTTGCTCTAAGTCAAACTGTATATGCAAAGTTTGGCCAAATTTATAAAGAATGATATTAATATTTATTACATAAAAAATGTAAATTATGAAAATATATTTTATAACATATCAATGATGCTAATTTGATATCGTAACTATTATTCTTCTTTCTATAATTTTGGTCAATGTTCATATAGTTAGACTTAGGACAAACTTAAACCCCTTGTATTTCAGAGGGAGTATGTTATCAGGTGCTACAATGACCTTTCAGTAATGACAATGTTTTGGTATTTTTGACCCAATAAAGAATGTCATGACTTGCACCAAATCCATAAAATTTCATATGTATCTTCCTTGTTCCAAGTTATTTATTTTACTGGTGGTTTCTCACGGTAGAAGAGGACAGTATTATTTAAGGAGGAAAAACAATGAGCACGGGGCCTCTTTCTCTATTATTGAACTCTTGAAAGGTGCTAATGACCTTACAAGGGATTAATGCAGAAAAAGACCCGTAGACTTTAGTATCAATTAAAACAAGTGTATATATCTTGTCGTGTGATCAAGACTCTTCCCTATTGGAATTGGTCAGGAGTATAACATTATCGATTTGTAATAACTAGTATTAATACATTGTGAATGCCATTATGTCAACAAAAAAATGGATTTTAAGATTTCGCTACTACAAGGGAGGTGTTTAGTGCTGCATACTGCCGGTTTTCACATAAGTCTGTTGGCAAGCAGGGTTATCCCTTTTCCAGTTTGGTGCCTTTGCCAAATCAAGAAATGGACTTTACCATTACGTAGGTCTCGTCGAAACAATCGAAATGCAAATCCTTCTATAGAATCCACACGTGAGAAGACTAGCTAAGGCATCTTTCAAAAATCAGCTAAGCCAAGTTTTGAGCAAGTCCGAGTTAGAATTATAATTTGACATGATTGTACGGGATTTGAGTTTTATCCTACTTTTCCATCCCAACTGGTGATGTTCTTATCTGTCTCCATGGCATTAGGATGTGCCCTAGCTGGCCTACGAAGCCTAGGGCACACCGGCGTGCGCTTGCCCCGACGGGGTCTCTTCCATATGTGCCTTCAGTGGACCGACAGACAAACTAATCTTTAAAAATTATCAAAGGCGGGTTACAAAACAGGCTAAGCCCGGTTTCACAGAGGCACTGCAAGGGAGAATAGGGAGAATAAGTTTCAGATCAGTCTTCCTCATTTTTCGGTGGCAGAAAGAAGAACAGACAAGAAATAAGAAGTTTCTCAACTCCGCCTGCAGGAATGTTGATCGTCGTTCCTTGGACATCTGTTCTCAGGGCTTTTATCGAGTGTTTGCATATATGGTCATCCATACGAAGCGTCGTACATGTTTGGATTTGAGATTTGGAGCTATTCACAATATGGGTACAATATAGATGAAAATCAGTTTTTGGATATATGTAATGTATTGCAGAGTACTTGTAACGTGATGATTTACCCAGTTATAACCTAATACAATTCTTCTTTCATCTAAAAAAAAAAAGAGGCACTGCAAGGGGCCCTTTGCGATTTGCACATGATGATGTGCTCGTGGGACGGCGTGTTTTAGGGCCAATGCACTTTTTGACAACTCCACTTAGACGATGGTGTTTCGGTTTTGATGTCCGAAATCAACTCGAGCAGTATGTTGTCGTTTGAAGAATTACCTGAAGAACTAGATCAAGAGTATATGCGACAATTTATGCAGGCAACTGAAGATTGATTCGTCCTGTTACCTGGAAAAAAAAAACCCAACAAGGCATCGTCAAGTTAAAGGAATTGCTATGTGTGTGATCCGAATTTCTTGTTCAGGCTAGAAGGGAGCTGTCTCTAGTGTAAAATTTGAATCTGAGAAGTAGTTCTTCAGCACCAAGCGTCCAAGCCGTATTCACGACTCAGCCATCTCCGCAAAGGCGCAAAGCTTCGATTCAGTGTAATTCATTCACAAGAGATTGACAGCGAGGTGAAAGAATACTAACCTTCCAGCTAATGCATGAGACAGTATTATTATCTAAGGCTGGTATTAATTTAATGGAATATATATTGGAGTTTCTTAAGATCTTTTTTCCGAAAGATCCGTTGCCGGCTTTCATTGAATTAAGAGAAGAGTAGAGTTTCTTAAGATCATCTTTGCATTACGACCAGACCCTATCCTTTGCGGTACAGATCCAACACCTGATCGGTTCGTTACTGCATTTTTTGGGGCTGTTCGCCGGTCTGGAAAGACCAGCCAGCCGGCTGCTCCCCCTCACAATTTACTATTTACCAAACCAGTCGAACAACATTTTTCTCTCACAACAAACCAGCCGGAACAGTGTTTTCAGCCAAGTTAGAATTGAGTAACAGTGCAAGGTAGAATCATTGCGTTTTGTTCTACAGATTGTTGAATCATTTAAATCATAAAAAAACTTAATATGGTTCAAATTTCAAAGTCAGTAATTTGTGAAACTGAGTGGTTTCTTTCCAAAGGGTAATTTAGCATAGTCAAGGCTTGTTTGGCTCCACACAAATCCATCCCAATTCACATGGTTTGGGAGAGATTGAGGTCTCAGTCCCGACCTCAATCTCGATCAAACCATGTGGATTGGGATAGATTTATATGCAACCAAATAAAGCCTCAAGGTGTCATATGAAG